ATAACACGGGAGTGAGCCAGAATGAACGGAAGAATGAATAACACGAGAGTTTTTTTTAGTGAGAATGAACTGGGGAATGAATAACACGGGAGTGAGTGAGAATGAACGGGAGAATGAAAAAAACAGGAGTGAGAATGAACGGGAGAATGACTAACACGGGAGTGAGTGGGAATGAACGAGAGAATGAATAACACGGGAGTGAGTGAGAATGAACGGGAGAATGAATAACACGGGAGTGAGTGAGAATGAACGAGAGAATGAACAACACGGGAGTGAGTGGGAATGAACGGGAGAATGAATAACACTGGAGTGAGTGAGAATGAACGGGAGAATGAATAACACGGGAGTGAGTGAGAATGAACGAGAGAATGAATAACACGGGAGTGAGTGAGAATGAACGTGAGAATGAATAACACGGGAGTGAGTGAGAATGAACGGGAGAATGAATAACACGGGAGTGAGTGAGAATGAATGGGAGAATGAATAACACGGGAGTGAGAATGAACGGGAGAATGAATAACACGGGAGTGAGCGGGAATGAACGGGAGAATGAATAACACTGGAGTGAGTGAGAATGAACGGGAGAATGAATAACACGGGAGTGAGTGAGAATGAACGGGAGAATGAATAACACGGGAGTGAGTGAGAATGAATGGGAGAATGAATAACACGGGAGTGAGAATGAACGGGAGAATGAATAACACGGGAGTGAGCGGGAATGAACGGGAGAATGAATAACACTGGAGTGAGTGAGAATGAACGGAAGAATGAATAACACGGGAGTTTTTTTTAGTGAGAATGAACGGGAGAATGACTAACACGGGAGTGAGTGGGAATGAACGGGAGAATGAATAACACGGGAGTGAGTGAGAATGAACGGGAGAATGAATAACACGGGAGTGAGTGAGAATGAACGAGAGAATGAATAACACGGGAGTGAGTGGGAATGAACGGGAGAATGAATAACACGGGAGTGAGTGAGAATGAACGGGAGAATGAATAACACGGGAGTGAGTGAGAATGAACGAGAGAATGAATAACACGGGAGTGAGTGAGAATGAACGTGAGAATGAATAACACGGGAGTGAGTGAGAATGAACGGGAGAATGAATAACACGGGAGTGAGTGAGAATGAACGAGAGAATGAATAACACGGGAGTGAGTGAGAATGAACGAGAGAATGAATAACACGGGAGTGAGTGAGAATGAACGGGAGAATGACTAACACGGGAGTGAGTGGGAATGAACGGGAGAATGAATAACACGGGAGTGAGTGAGAATGAACGAGAGAATGAATAACACGGGAGTGAGTGGGAATGAACGGGAGAATGAATAACACGGGAGTGAGTGAGAATGAACGGGAGAATGAATAACACGGGAGTGAGTGAGAATGAACGAGAGAATGAATAACACGGGAGTGAGTGAGAATGAACGTGAGAATGAATAACACGGGAGTGAGTGAGAATGAACGGGAGAATGAATAACACGGGAGTGAGTGAGAATGAATGGGAGAATGAATAACACGGGAGTGAGAATGAACGGGAGAATGAATAACACGGGAGTGAGTGAGAATGAACGAGATAATGAATAACACGGGAGTGAGAATGAACGTGAGAATGAATAACACGGGAGTGAGTGAGAATGAACGAGAGAATGAATAACACGGGAGTGAGTGAGAATGAACGAGAGAATGAATAACACGGGAGTGAGTGAGAATGAACGGGAGAATGAATAACACGGGAGTGAGAATGAACGGGAGAATGACTAACACGGTAGTGAGTGAGAATGAACGGGAGAATGAATAACACGGGAGTGAGTGAGAATGAACGGGAGAATGAATAACATTGGAGTGAGTGAGAATGAACGAGAGAATGAATAACACGGGAGTGAGTGAGAATGAACGGGAGAATGAATAACACGGGAGTGAGTGAGAATGAACGGGAGAATGAATAACACGGGAGTGAGTGAGAATGAACGAGAGAATGAATAACACGGGAGTGAGTGAGAATGAACGGGAGACTGAATAACACGGGAGTGAGTGAGAATGAACGGGAGAATGAATAACACGGGAGTGAGTGAGTGAGCATGAAGGAGATCGGGTATCCCAGACGTCAACAAGTTTGTCAACAATGAAGGGAGGCTTCGGGTAAATGTAAATAAAAACCCTAGGACAGAAAAGAAACGTTAATGAAAAGGAAAAAAAAATCAAACTTACAAACAAATATATATAAATGAAAGTCTACCTGTCTGTTCCGATTAACTTTTACATTATTTTCAATGCTTACATGCTGGTTTTAATGCATGAGTGTGGTGTGTGTGTGTGATTGCGTGAATAGAAGCGTGATTGTGCGGGTGAGATAGCGCGTGAGTCGGATTTCTGAATATGTGTGAGAGTTTGTGAGTTCGCGGGTGAATCTCCTAACACGTGTACGTTATTAATTTGTTTCTAAATATATTCATTTTAAATAAGTGGTTCTGCTGATATTCATCATGAATATATACTGCTTAGGAAACTGCTGAACACTCACCACTGCTATTGATAATGATCAAACTATTACTGATGATAACGGTGACGCTAATACTAACACTGAAAATGATGCTACGATGCGAGTTGCAATTCCTGAAGACGCTAATTGCTCAAAACAATTGCTGCTGCTGATGATGATTGTTAACAGTCATTCACAAAACAAGTAAGTACCCGGGCAACGCCGGGTATTTCCTGCTCGTATGAGGTTGCCCATAAATGACGTCACGCGATTTTGGACGATTTTTGACCCCCCCCCCCCCCTTCGTCACACGATGTCACAAAAAGTCAGACCCCCCCCCTTGCGAATATGACGTCACAAAGCTCTGCCCCCCCCCCCCCCCCCCAAAATAAATAAATATAAAAATGCTTCAAATCGCTTTAAACTATTGTCATTGTGGTGCGTATTTAATGTGGCTTTGCACTCTGATGTTGTAGGAGAAAACATTTATTTAAACAGTCTATTTAATTAAGTAAAACGTTTTGATTTAAAGCTTTCATGACTGCAGGGATTCATATTATTGGTTCTTTCGGTAAAGTCACGTAGAATGGAAACAATAAAATATGTTTTATTATTTTATTATTTCCCTTCTACGTGACTTTACCGAAAGAACCAAGAATATAAGGAGAACGTGTTGTCTATATTTATTTAAAATTGCGCATTTTGATATGACGTCACATTTCTCAAACCCCCCCTACCCCCCCATCGTCACACATCGTCACAAATTCTAGATTTAAAGCTTTCGTGACTGCAAGGATCCATACTCTTTGGTTCTATTCGGTAAAGTCACTCCAGCGCTGTCCCCTAGACAGTCTGGTCCCTTCACCTGATGAAGGCCACTTGTGTTGTGGCCGAAACGTCGTGATTGTTGTTGTTTTACTTTTTACCTACGTGACTTTACCGAATAGAACCAAAGAGTATCGTCACAAATGTCTGACCCCCCCCTCCCCCCCCCCCCCTAGGTGCGTGACGTAATTTATGGACGGCCCCAATGTAAATACAAACAAATATGTAATAGCCGGTGTGGAAGCGGCCGCGCAAGAGGGTGGCCTGCATCTTCCAACCGCACGGCTGTCAAGCCAGACGGCTTAGCCGTATTATTGCAACAGGGAAATTGAGTAGTTTCAGCTTCATACGGCGTACAGCCGTTTCAATATGGGCATTTTTTTGGGTCCATTAGTTTGTGTTTCTCCCTTGTGATGGGACTTTGTAGGATGAACGTTGAGATTTGTAAGTGGCACGTGGTGACCATTAAGGTCTGAATTCGTCTATAATAAGGTTAAGCACTGATGAGCGGTTGACAGGAATGCAACTGGAAGCGTGGGGCTGTAGGCACTTGTCCTGCCACCTCGTGCGGAACGTCTGGCCAGAGACAAGGATGACGATCCACACGTGTGGTGTGTGTGTGTGTTATCGCCACTCATCAAACCAAAGCGATAGACCTTCTCGTAAAAACGACTGCAGCGTGGATCTCCTTCAAAAGAGGAGGAACAGCAAAACGACACAAACTCTCTCTCTCTCGCCAACTTCGCCTTGTGCTCAGCCAACTTCGCCTGTACTCAGGCGAAGTTGGCGGTGTACAGAACGAGAAAAAAGATTCTAGATTTGAAGCTTTCGTGACTGCAAGGATCCATACTCTTTGGTTCTATTCGGTAAAGTCACGTAGGTAAAAAAAAAATCACGACGTTTCGGCCACAACACAAGCGGCCCTCATCAGGTGAAGGGACCAGACTGTCTCGAAGACAGCGCTGGAGTGAAACAGAGCCAAGCTCAGACAACGACCTTTAATTCCTCTCACGCAGCTTAAAGGTCGTGGTCTGAGCTTGGCTGTGTTTCACTCCAGCGGTGTCTTCGAGGCAGTCTGGTCCCTTCACCTGATGAAGGCCGCTTGTGTTGTGGCCGAAACGTCGTGATTTTTTTTTACCTACGTGACTTTACCTAATAGAACCAAAGATTAGAGAAAAAAAGATGCTGCAAGGTGACACTGACGGCTGCTCTGCGGTGCTTCCAGTGTTCAGAGGCCTGCTCAAGGTGCGGCTCCGGCTGGTTCACGCCACGTACCACACACACGTGTCGGTGATGTGCAGCGCGTCTTCTTCGAACGCTGGGGAGCCGGAAAAGCCCCTCTCTGTACCAGCGTGTTCACCTTCTGAAGCGCTCGCTCGTCAGCGTGGCGTGCGCGATGAACACCACCATCACCACCACCACGTGCCTTTTCTTTCGTGTTGTGCGCGACGCATTTAGCGCCACAGCGCGTGGATTTATAGCGTTTATTTTCATTTGTGTTGCTGGTGACTTTGTGTATTTCATATCGGAGTCGCCTCCAGTGCTGTTGCTGCTGGCGGCAATAAAAGTTGTTTAAAAGTCAAAAAGTCTCTCTCCCGATGCCCTCTCGTCGTGGCCATCAGTAGGACACCTCCACTTGGCTCCTGAGCCCACACTGCTGCCATGCGCGAGAACGTCATTAGCAGTCAGTGCGTAACAAAATAAAGTGCTGGTGCGGTGCGTAACTATTTGTAAATGAATAACACTGAGAGTAGAACATTTGGAGAGTTAGTGGGGTTTTTTTTCACGATCAGTAAAGATATGCCAAGGGAAAGCCGCGTGTGCGTGTCCGTGTGCGTGCGCGCATTCACGGGGAAGATACAACAAAGCAAGGGTGGTTTTCACATCACGGCGTCGAAGCGCCCCTTTCCTGCGAATTAGCCAGACGTTTCGTGGCCAGCCCCAATGGGTGGTCTCCGCGTGCGCCTGCTCGCGAATTGCTTCGTGCTGGCTGCTCTGAGTCTTCGCGTGAGCTCGGTAAGTCACCGATGTGAGCCGCTTACGCGCGCCCCGTTGTTGGACCTCTTTCGCACCCGCACCGTGGCCAACCGACGCATCACGTTACGACGACCAAATGCGTCACCCGCTTTGCCAATTGATGCCGGCACCCTTTCGCCGTTGTGGCCGTGGTTGTCGTATGGTTAGCGCGTGAAGACTCCCGTTGTAGAGGTCGCAGGCTCGATCACCTGTCGCGGCAGTTGAAGCAACAGGGGTGGGCGGGGAGGGGGGGCATCTTAAATCCGCACGTTCTCTCTCTCCGCACGGCCGTACAAATGGAGATCGCCAAAGACTATCATATCGCCAGGCCGCGGCGTGGTGGCGTAAAGTGTTGGTACGTCCACCCACCTAGTTCAACAAATATGGCCATTGTGGAAGACGCCTGGCCATCGCGGTGGTCAGCACCATGTCAGTTAAACACTCGCGACTGATGTTACCCACTGCAGGGAATTTCACTGGTGGAGTGTGTGGATCATTGTTCCACTGCTCCCCCCCCCAGATATCACCCTACAGCATTCTACATTGTTGTATCATGTTAAAATGAACACGTGCGTCGCAAAAAAATGTATCTCGTTGTGTGGGTTTTTGAAATCCAGGACTCAGTTGACGCCTTACTCTGGCGCCTGGTTATGAAGCCTGCATTAACCACACGTGTTGGTGGTGAACATGCAAACAATTATAGATTTGAAGTTTTCGTGACTGCGATGATCCACACTCTTTGGTTCTTTCGGTAAAGTCACGTATGTAAAAAAAGTAAAGTTAATCAAATCACGACGTTTCGGAGGCAACACAAGCTTCCGTCATCAGGTGTAACTAGAACAGCTTGTGTCGCCTCCGAAACGTCGTGACTTGATTAACTTTATTTTTTTATTTTATACTTACGTGACTTTACCGAAAGAACGAAAAACATGCAAACAAAACAAGCTTTGATAATACAATGGCATTGTCTTTGAAACTGATTGGCCTACACCAGAGACAGCCTTCTTCATGATCTAGTCTCACCAGTGTCAGACACAGAGTAGACAAACGTCGAACAGCACAAAGACAATGCATGATTCCTTGCAAAAGGTGTTCAAATTTGGTGTTTGAACATCTTAACCACCTTGTTTTATTGCCAGAAAGGGTAAAACCTATTCTCTATTTTCACAATCTGTTGCTGGCAAAAAAAAGGTGCCGTGATATGTACGTACGTGCGTTGAACTTCTTTCGCATCCACACTCTTTGATTCTTTCGGTAAAGTGACGTAGGGAGAAAAAATAAAAAGATCGCGACGTTTCGATCGCCACGCAAGCAATCGTCCTCAGTTGGGGGCGATTGCTTGTGTGTCGATTGCTTGTGTGACGATTGCTTGTGTGTCGATTGCTTGTGTGACGATCGAAACGTTGTGATCTACTATTTTATTTCTACCCACGTGACTTTACCGAAAGAATCGAAGAGTATGGATTTCGGCAGTCACGAAAGCTTCAAATCAAAATTCATATTCTTTTCGCATCGTTCGTAGACAACCGTGCGAATCGGAGGCGCGGTTGGATATGCCAACAATATGCGCGCGTGTATTAATGCCTCCGCTTGCTTTCCAATTTTGTTGTTGTTATTCGCCTTTATTTTTCAGCTATGTACATCGTTCTTCAATGAGACTGATGGTCCCATGTGTGGGAATATCTGTAAAGGTGATGTGTGCACACACACACACGTACACCCAAGGCTTCATTGTACAATTGGCACAACACACACAACTGGCAGCGTTATTAAAACAACAACAACAACATCTACCATCGCCAAGTAGTTAGTGGACGTGATTAGCTTAGTGTGCGCACAGAGTGTGCGTGCAATTGCAGTCACTTGCGTCGATAAATTCGTCTCGGGAGATGCGCGGTGTTTATTCCCACTTGCCCCAACAGTCTACGTAGGACAGTTGTGGGATCTTTGTCTTTATCTCTACTTGTGGGGTTCAGCGGTGGCGCAGTGGTGAGCACACTGCTCTTACCTGGACGTTGATTCCTGGCCATTGCTGACATCGGTGTTGAATATCTGAGCCAGTCCCGGGTGCATTCCCTTAGTCATCTCTCGCCTAACCAGTGCCTGGGCACGGTGCGTCAACGTCCGTGTTTGGGTGGACAAAGTGGGGCTTGCGTGGTGCTGATCTAGCCTTGTGGAGGCGGCGGCGAGGCTTGGTGGATGACGCACATTTTTATTTTATCAATGTGAAACTCCTTACCTGTGTGGGACGTCGACAAAGAGCCACGCCCTGGCTTGCCAGCAGGCAGGACAGCCAATGGGGGCCCCACCTGCTCCATCTGTATGGGATACAGTGTTGCCCCCTCGCATGCGTGGGTTATTCGCCGGGTGCTCTGTATTCTTCCCACGTGCACAAACACGCGTGCATTATATTGGCCGATAAACACCTTCATATGTAGGGGGACCGCAGAGCTTTGTGGGGGAGAATTTGGCGCCGGCTCGCCGTCTGGCTGCCTGTCTCACTTGCCTGCCGATACTGTGCAGGTCACGAGTTTAAATCATGAATGAGTATGCCAGCTTCCATGGCTGCGTACCGGTGGGCAGTAGTAATGCAAGTGGATCCGTAATCAGTGCTACATGTATTGTCATCCGGGCTTCCGATTCCCGACGATGCGCTTCCTTCAAGGTCACGAGGACAGCCCTTTATCAATCCACTGCTGGATGACGGGGTTCCCATCCCAGTAGGGAGATTATTTGACCAAATGTTGCCATGCTAATGATACGGGAGCCTATACGGTACAGTACAATAGTGGATGTTGCTGCACTGTCCTCTGCTGCCTACCATGCTTCCACACAGGCTACATGACAAGCTGTTTGCTATGGTGGGGGTCCCCCACGACCAACTCACGATCCATATTCAACTCTGCTTAGCGTCTCAGAATTTGGGATTCAAAGGTCAAACTTTATCCTTCACCGTAAATGAGTACTGCGCCCGGCGTGGCATGCAAATATCAGCACTGGGAAGACGCAGGCGGCCGGGAATGACTGTTGACCATGCCACCCACACGTATGCCATATCATAACCCTGTGTGTATATCCCAATAGTCTGTTAAGCCGTATCTATGGATCATTGTCTGTGTGTGTGTGGTCCGCGTGATTACTTCACAGATACAAGTGTTAAGGTGAGGATCAGTCTGAAGAAGCAGCTGGGTGAGAATGCGGTGAGTTTTGCACAAACTCCTTGTGAAAAAAAACCAAACGCAGTAGATGCCTGGGTTTGACCTTCCACGAAGCTCATGGTCCACTGCACAAACCATGGCAGATGCGGTTGCCTGATGCAGCAAATGTAAAAGTAATAACTCTCCAGGAGTGTGCGACCGCGGTGATACAGAACAGACCGTACGACGTAAAGCAAAACAACGCCCTATTCACAAATACGACGGAGACATCGCAGCGATACACGACTCCACTGCCCCCGACCACGGTTGTCTGGCTCGACCACTGGCATGTAAAATTGTAGTTGTTGCATTGCATCTACATCAGCAGGCGACACGTAAGAAGAAGAAGAAGACTCAAGGAATTCGGCAGCACTGCGCATGTGGACTGCGGCTCAGAGTCTAAATGAACCCGGTGGTGTTTAACTCGAATACTTAACGATTAACCTTTCTCAGCAAAAGAAAGTAATGATTGAATCAAGGAAAAATCGAACATCTACCCTAAACAAACACGCAAGTAATTCTCCCTTAAGGCATTAAGCCATTTTCCATTCCCATGTAAACACACCTTGTGATTAAACGCCTGGATCTCTTCATACATGATCACGTACTTCTGCAGCCTTCTGGAACACTCTTCCTTTTGATATAAGGAAGCCTATGGGAGCAATGTTTTTTTTTAAATCTAGGTTGAAAACTAATTTCTTTAAAGCTGATTTTTGTGTTTAGTTTATTGTCCTTCCCCAGCATCTCCGATTAGCACGGTTGGCTACGTACGGTGTGAAAGAAGTTCAACATACACTGCATATATACATGAATACACGTGTGTATGCAGTGCGGATTCATGTAAGCTTGCCTATTTTGTAATGAAAATGTGGTTATTTATCTTTGATGCTGTCTTTTTTTTCAATTGCGTTCCTCCCAACAGATATTTTATGTTCGTTTGGGAAACGATGTGCTTTAGGTGGCTTTTGTTTTTCTGTTACATGAATGGAACCGTTCGCGGCCTTGTTTTAGAAAGTGATTCAATCATTACCTGCGATTCGTATTAATTGGTTGTTATAATGACTATGTTGTGAGCATATCTGAGATGGCTAATACGTTCTCTGAGCTGACGTTGATGCCTTTATTTATACTGGTAGGAACCTCCTGGTTACACCAGCCCACAGGGGATTATTGTGTCCGTCCGTCCGTCGTGCATCCAAAAATGTGAGGGGTGGGGCTGGGTGGAGAGGGGAGGGTGGGGAGGGGTTGGGTGGGGAGGGAGGGGCTGGGTAGGGAGGGGAGGGTGGGGAGGGGTTGGGTGGGGAGGGAGGGGCTGGGTAGGGAGGGGACGGTGGGGAGGGGCTGGGTGGGGGGTGGGAGGGGTTTGGGGCTGGGTGGGGAGGGGCTGGTCACCCGGTCGTGCCCTTATAAAACTCAACGTTTAACCTACTCACGCCAGCTTGTGCCCTCCCACACAGAAAATGTGAAAAAAGTGGCGTTTATTTTAAAATGTTCTTGCTGTGGTTTTCACACCTGATGATGATTGCTTGTGTTGCAATCGAAACGTCGTGAGAATTTAATAGTTTCATTTTTATTATTTTATTATTTCCCTTCTACGTGACTTTACCGAAAGAACCAAGACAATGCTGAGACAATCAAATAAAGAGGTGCACAAACACAGGAGGGATTGGTTTTTTTTCATGGAAGTTTATCACCAAAAGCGGCATACATTGTGCCTGAAGAAGACTCAGTGCACAATACCGGTGATCACGTGCGGATCACAAACAGTGGCGCTGACAAAGAACACGGAACTGAAAGCTCGATAAGTGGACACTTGGAATTACGCTTGCAGAGAGAGAGAGAGAGGGGTTCGAGAAACAAACACAACACACTAATCAGAGGACTCACATCGACTCTGAACATAAGTGGGCTTAGGCAGAACACATAACTCCATGAGATGGAGGCCTGCGATCGGACAGGGCTTGTGACAGAATGGCAGCCAAAAGGACATGGCCACTGTAGAGATGGAGTGACGTGGTTAGCTCATATGCAGGGAGTCAGGTGACTTTTGTCAGTGTTAAGAATTAAATAAAAAATCAGTTTCATTAAACAAAAAATCCTGTTCACTTAAAAGGTATTTGTTTTCCTTGTGTCCACCCGTCGAACTCCCGCCTGCATGCCCACGCGCGCGTCTGCCAGTATGTGTGGGACGACTCGGAGCTGTTCCTCTTCCGAAGCGCCGTCGCCTACGCGATGCGTAAAAGCCCCGAGCAGCACGACGCCTTCACGTGAGCGATGCACGCAGCCCACGGGCACTTCCCATCACATCTTCTGGGTTCTTTCGGTAAAGTCACGGAGAAGGGAAACAATAAAATAATAACATCTGTGTTCGGAGGAGAGGAGGGGGGGGAGACGGGGTGGTGGATGCGGTATTGGAGCCACCGTGGGCGTGAACAATCAATTAAGACCTGATTGTTCGCGCTTACGGCGGCATCCATTATTTTCGTCTCCCCCCCTCCTCTTTTCCGAACATGGATGGACTCGTCCATCTGAATGGCTGCCAGGTCGCTCTCCGTGGTGCTAACGTTAAAAGGGCCGCCAGCTTTTTTCAAAATTTTCTTGCTGTGGTTTTCACACCTGATGATGATTGCTTGTGTTGCAGTCGAAACGTCGTGAGAATTTTATTTATTTTATATATTTTTGTTAGTTTATTGTTTCCCTTCTACGTGGTGACTTTACCGAAAGAACCAAGAATGTGAATCCCTGCAGTCACGAAAGCTTTAAATCAAAATTTTAAACTTCCCATCACATTGAGCTCGCAAGAAGGCGCTGCTGCGTTAGGATGAGCCATCCTCGTCGTGGCACTTGAAGGGATTTCAGAAGAAGTTCGGTGATATCTGCTTCCATCGGCCGTTACCTTGCACTGCTTCACGAGAGATCCAAATTAATTGTTCCCATGAATGTCGATGACACAACTGATGGCACGACTGAAACATAACATGTCTTTGTTATATTGTTGTTGTTTTCATTGAAAGCTTTCGTGACTGCAGGGATTCATATTCTTGGTTCTTTCGGTAAAGTCGCGTAGAAGGGAAACAATAAAACAATACAAAAGTATAAAACAATAAAATTCTCACGAGGTTTCGACTGCAACACAAGCAATAATCATCAGGCGATGATTGCTTGTGTTGCAGTCTAAACGTCGTGAGAATTTTATTGTTTTATATATATTTTTTATTGTTTTATTGTTTCCCTTCTACGTGACTTTACCGAAAGAACCAAAAATATTGTTGTTGTTGTAACTTTCTCACCCGCTTCTGCTGGACATCTGTGAAAACGAGCTCGATAGGATAGCTCATCGGATTGCTCCAGTCTAAATAAATAATCTGCTAAAGATTATGATTCTGAAGAAATTGTAGGGGGGGTGGGGGGCGTGTGTGTATGAGGAGTAAACACACGCGCAAAAATATAAAACCAAAAAACATAACGTATCCGAGCACTCTCCCCATGACATTCGACAGCACAGCTGCGATATATTTGCTTTTTTACGAAGACAAAAAAAAAGTTGTTCACCTTCACTAATGACATACGACCCAACCACGTTGCCCGAGCAGGACCGAACACGTGATCGTGTGCGCCAAGACGAAGAGAATCTCCTTCTACTTTGCGGTGATGAATCCGAACCTGACGCACACCCTGGTGGAGAAGCAGCAGCTGGTGCGTGCCATCAGGTCAGTGGCCACCCCCGGCACGCCCCACGTCGCCTTCCTAGACAATAAATCGACCGCTCGTGCGCGATGCAGCGTTGGCAGTGGCGCACAAGCGAAGCGTCAATCACGCCGGCCTGGGGAAGAAACAACGCGCTACGGGTTTTAGAACCGAGGCCGACCGCTGGGGTGGCTACGCTCATGGGAAAATGCGGCGTGGAGCAAAATACCGCGTTCGGCAAATAATGTAACCTAATGGGAAGCAATGGGGTTGCGTTCCTGGGTCCGAAATCATAACCCCCCCCCCCCCCCCCACCTTTATGTTTGTTCGACTCGTTCTGAAAAATTTCCACCCCCGTCATTGTACGAAAAGCAGGGGACGGCAGCCTGCTGCTCAAGGAGCTGCATTCGGCTCTTTGAGGGACCGCTGCTTCGTGACTTTATGTGTCAGGGTCCCCACCGCCGTCTCGTATTCACCACTTGCATTGCGGCTCTTGAAACATAGAGGGGTTCGTTTTTTTTTTTTGGTACCGAATTCGCAAACAATGTACTCGCGTTATGTTAGTTGCTGACCAATGTGCTACTAAAGCATGCCGGGTCGCTCCCCATGTCTTGTGTGTGTTTGTACACTCTTTATTTTTCAATTTCATCATGACACAAACTCCCACCACCCCCCCACCCCGTCTCCATTCCAGTTCGACGTTCGCTCCCCCCCCCCCCCCCCAACGCTGTCACTTAGGCACGTAAATATTGAACAGCTTCGTCAGTAATACTGCCTTGAAAGAGAAAATTGACGAATGCGTCATATCGTTTTTTTTGTCGTGTTGTGCTGTCGTGCACACCGCCAACGCAGTGTCGCCAAATGATGTATACGATTGAACATGTCCCAGCACATGTTGTACATTTTATGTTAAGTAACTTATTCAAAAGTGTATCGGATGTCTCATCATTGTATTATTACGACTACGTTCTTGCATTCCAAATGAATTATAAAATGTAGTTTTTTTTTCCGCCTCCCCGGTTCTGGGTAGCCGGGGTTTTACTGTGCCATATTTCTCAGCTTATAAGATGCCCTGGAATATAAGACGCAACTCGTAAACACCTCCCAGATTATAAGACGCACCCTAACTTCTACTTTAGAATACTGTACAGGGGAGAAGCGGTGTGTTTTCTGTAACCTGGAGGATACAACGACAGGTGGCATGTCAGGCAAGAAGCAGGCGCATTGCCTGAAATGTTGCCTATCATCGCATTTAGTCTTCCGTAAGGGCAGTGTCATTGATGAATGGGTTTAAGTGTTAGGTGACCTCGCTGCTATTACGACATTGCCCGACACACCCCAGCGCCTCCGATTAGCACGGTCGTTCACGTTACGGTGCGAAAGAAGTTCAACTTGCGCAACGCACCCCACTCCAACGGCAACCAGTGACGCCGATCCCCTGGCCTTGAAGGTTGTCGCGTCCACGCATGAACCGTGCCTTCATGCTGGACGTGAGGACGCTGGAGTTCGTGGGCATCAAGCCGACGCTGGCTCCGACGCGCTCCGCGTTCAAGAATGCGTGGCTCGTGGCCTACGGCGTCGTGAGCGGGGCTTCCGTCCTGGCAATCATCGCCCTCTTCGCGGACGCGTGGCGCAAGCGATACAGGTGAGCGAGGCATGGCCCTCCGGATCCTCATTATAATAATGACGGTGGGCAAGTGCGGGACCGATGGGTGAGGTGAGTCGGGGGGGGTGGGGGGGGTGGTGGTGGCGGTCGGCGCTGGCCACCAATGCGTAATCATTCGTGAAATTATTTTTGTCAACGGTGTTTTTTCGTTTGAATTCGACGATGACTCGGGGTGGTCGAAAATCATCGAAAGTAAGACGATGATGAAGACGACGACCCCTAAGCCCTAAGACGAATGTGTTACTGACGAAACAAAAATAATTGGTCTCATTCATGACGCAGAACGAAGATCATTTATGATGGGAAACCGCAGTGCACTGAGGTATACCGAAAATGGTGAATTTATATATATGACCAGCATATAAAATTAGTTACTGAGTTCATTAATTGGCTGATTTGATAATAGTTGAGGGGCTAAGAGTGAACAAACGACGTTTTTTTTGCTTGAGTCGACTGTCCTAAGAGAATTGCTGTAATAAAATAAAAAAGCGTAAACTAAATTACCGCTGCTTGAGAATAAGCAGCGATTCCTAGGTCATCGCCATCCCTAACCTGGTAAACCACAAAAGTATCCAAGCATCGACCCCAGATGTTAATCACACTACCATAGCCACTTCAGGATTCTTAAACCATGTCGTGAGGCGATGGATAATAAATAATGTTGACAAATTTAACACTGCTCTCCAAGCGAGTATATGATTGGATCGGGTTCTGGTGACAATTGGGGCAGTTCCATTGTCAACTGTATGAAGAAAATGGAGCAAGTTGATGAAATAAAAAATATCCCATTGAACCCATTATTCCATTTCCACCTATTTCGCTTATTATTACATTTCGCTATTTAACCTATACCTACACATATAACTGCACGATGTATAACGACGAACCGTGTTTTCTGCTTGGCTGTGCCTAGGCAGAGAAGAAGTCTTAAGCCAGAGGCCACCAATTACCCGGCAGACGAACTCCCCACAGAGACCAGCGGTACGACCCAGCACAACGGAGATGCCTTCACCGCCCTCTAGGCCAACATGGCGAGAAGTTAACTCCATCGCCTGGTATGCCTCAGGTTCGTGGGTTCGATCCCGAACCACGACGCTCAGCTGTATATTTGGAGTTCCACACGTTTCCCTCTCCCCGTGGTCGTGTTTTTTTGCTGTGGGTCCTCCGGTTTTTCCCCTCCACATGTGGAATCGACATCGCGTGTTTTGAGTATTTGGCTGCGATAAATTTCGACGTGATAAGCCACTTCGTTGAGCTATCATTTGTGCTCAGTCGCTTCTGAGAAAATTCTATATACAGTAGCTCAGTGGGCCTTACCTGGTAAAATGAAAAAAAAGTTTTAAAGAGTTTGGTGAGGGCCTAGTGCCCTTATCGTTTTAGGGGTTCCTCTTTGCATAATGAATTCCATCCCTCTACCATTTTACCACCACCCATGCCCCATTCCACACTCTCCATTGTCATTCACCTTGTTTTTTTGTTGAGTTTTAACTTAAAATGTGGGACACTAATTGTAAAGCTAAATCAAATTGAACATTAACAAAGCTTTATTTTATATTCTGGCATTAAACCGGCAGGTGCTATGGATTATAATGTATCATCAGCGTTGTGTTTCAACCATTTTAATATTTGTGGCCTTGAGCTGTAGCCTCTAAAATCCTCTGCGTTAATGCTGCCCTGCTCACTGCCACCCACAGGATTGCCCCATGTGTTGTACTGCACCCTTTAACGTATTCGTTCGGCAGCGTTTTGCATAACAACTACTTAATTTTTTAGAAAATATTGTTTTTAATAAGGTGAGAACTCAAGGGACAAGGAGTCGCATTTTCAAGAGTGAAAAAACATTGCATAAAGACGAAGTACATCATTGACGCAAATTGATGCATATATTGTGGAGTATTAGAGTAATAACACAAGTAGAACATGGAGTATCTCCACAAAGAACTCAAATTGGTCTAGCCCTTCAACTTATTGACTCTTCAGACCAATATCATCCAGCAGATTGTCTTTAATCAAGAAAACTCTGCACCGAATTCGACCTTCCAAATATTCTAGCAATGAACATCCCACAACCTAGCAGCATCTGTTTCACAAGCTTCACTCTGCTAATGAGTACAGCAATGAAGCAAATGCAAATGAGACCAAAAGCAACCACATTAAATGAGAAATTAAAAATAACACTGTTTACCAACATATGATAATAACAAAAATGTGTTTCCTATTAATAAAAGGTGGCTTAAACAAAATGAAACTTTAAAAAAAGCATCCATCGTAAAATGTAATTGCAGAAACGTAGACGTTATATTGTCCACTAAGAGGCATGTAATGATTCAGCCCCACAGCAATTGGATCCGTTTCTCTTTTATCCAGTTACAATCCGATTCACAATCCAATTATTGTCGGTTAATTAACAAAATAATAATCTTGTGCGTATTTATATAGTTTGCAATAGAATGTAAAAAAACGTACCACCCTTGAAATTTGATGCATCGTCATTATCTGGGGTCACGATTGGATTAGAAGAAAAAAAATCGTTGCGTCTGACTTAATCCTCATTTGTATTGCTTTTTTAGTGTATGCTTGTACAGTGTCGTTGGTTCAGTTCGTCTAAACGTAACATAATACAATGTGCACGTATGAATTGTAAACAATCGATTGTCACGCATGATGCAGATATGAAGAAATCAATGCCTCATTACATGCCTAGTATTTAAAACTATGTTATCGCATTACATGTGGCCTTGCAATTAACAATAAAAAAATACGTTCAATACAACTCCTGTCCATGTAAATAACAAACACAGACACTTAGTGTGTTGCGTCAATTCCTACACGAAAAGAGGTCATCCTTGAATTATGTCGGCGTCAATGCGACTCACGTGTGAAGATGCACACATCTGAATCTCAATACACACTGCTATTACCCTGCCCTAAGCTTTGCAAATTCTAATTTATATGCATATCTTCAAGTCAGTTATCTGAAATGTGCCAGTATGTGGGTCTGATTGGAAATGGAGCCCTATAAATAACTTCATCCCATTGCTCCGCCAAAATCAAATGGGTTCTCGGTTTAATACGAGCCTATTGCCCCGGGAATGACAGACTGATGATGACTCATCTACTGGTGGCTACCAGAGTACCCCGGGCTCTCGCATAATGTCCGTGATGTAGTCACTTCTAGTCTGTTGATGGTCGGCGATGCGGGCAATCGACTCATCTCGACGAGCTGTACACGATGCGCCACTACCGTGCGTACTGCGAGCGTTCAGGGTTTCGGCGCAATCGCCCTCGCTGCGTTTCGACATCGCGGAGTGTGGCACCGATTTCGGATTGATTGGTTACCCCAGTCGCGGAGTGAAGTAGACCCCTGAAGAAAAATATTGTCCCAGAAATAAAGTATTTACCTATTTTCCCGCATATAACCCGCGGGGTATACCACTTTTTTTACAAACAAAACAAGACCCTGCGGGGTATATGGAGGTGCGGGCTATCCCAAAAATATTTTACACGTGTGACATGTCCTAGCTCGTTACATGTTTTCATGGTAAGACTATCCACTATGCAACGCTTACCTTTGACTAAAGCACTGCTGAATAAACCACTCAGACTAAAATTGCACATGCTATCACGTTTTAAATGAATTGCTTGTACAATTAAACGACAATGTTTGAAGTGCGCGCACTGTTTACCGGCGACGGGAGAGCTGGGAGGGAGAGAGAGGTGGGGGGTGGGGCAGAGCAAGATCTGCGGCGGTGACGGGAGAGCTGGGGAGAGCGAAAGGTGGGGGGAGGGCGAGGTGGGGGGTGGGGCAGCCGGGAGGAGGGACAGATCATTGACAAGATCCTCTCGTGTAGTTCTGGGATGATTCCTCACCGTTCTCATGATCATTGCAACTCCACGAGGTGAGATCTTGCATGGAGCCCCAGGCCGAGGGAGATTGACAGTTCTTTTGTGTTTCTTCCATTTGCGAATAATCGCACCAACTGTTGTCACCTTCTCACCAAGCTGCCTGGCAATGGTCTTGTAGCCCATTCCAGCCTTGTGTAGGTCTACAATCTTGTCCCTGACATCCTTGGAGAGCTCTTTGGTCTTGGCCATGGTGGAGAGTTTGGAATCTGATTGATTGATTGCTTCTGTGGACAGGTGTCTTTTATACAGGTAACAAGCTGAGATTAGGAATACACCTAATCTCAGCTCGTTACCTGCATTAAAGACGCCTGGGAGCCAGAAATCTTTCTGATTGAGAGGGGGTCAAATACTTATTTCCCTCATTTAAATGCAAATAAATTAATAACATTTTTGACATGCGTTTTTCTGGATTGTTTTGTCACTGTTCAAATACACCTACCATTAAAATGATAGACTGATCATTTCTCTGTCAGTGGGCAAACGTACAAAATCAGCAGGGGATCAAATACTTTTTTCCCTCACTGCATCTCACTTGGAGGTCACAAGAGGAAGGCTGGTTTGCCCCATCCTATTGTCATGAATAAATGGGACAATATCATTCTGATGATTTCAGCAATTGTGAGATTAATTTACATGCAACAGTACATATTAAATGGCTGCGTGAGATAAGAGACACCTTGACTTGAATTTTATTTCAACAACAGAAATCTACTCGTGACCATCACCGATGATCTTTCCATGGACAGACGAAGACCTTCCAAAGCAATCTGTCACGTTCTCTTGATGGAACTGTGGTGCCACAGCAACGAAGCCGCTCCGTCGGAGCCGTGCCTGCGGCGGGGGTGCTGCAGCAACGAAACCGCCCGGCTTCCGTCACAGCGCTTCCCCCACCAGCCCACACATGAACACACACACCCCACATAGAGACCCCACATGAACACACACACCCCACATAGAGCCCCCACATGAACACACACACACCCACACCCACATAGAGCCCCCACATGAACACACACAGATAGAGCCCCCATATGAACACACACACCCCACATAGAGCCCCCACATGAACACACACACCCCACATAGAGCCCCCACATGAACACACACACACCCACACCCACATAGAGCCCCCACATGAACACACACACATAGAGCCCCCACATGAACACACACAGATAGAGCCCCCACATGAACACACACATCCCACATAGAGCCCCCACATGAACACCCCCCCCCCCACATAGAGCCCACACATGAACACACACACCCCACATAGAGCCCCAACATGAACACCCCCCCACATAGAGCCCCCACATGAACACACACACACACACCCCACATAGAGCCCCCACATGAACACCCCCCACATAGAACCCCCACATGAACACACACACCCCACATAGAGCCCCCACATGAACACCCCCCACATAGAACCCCCACATGAACACACACACACCCACATAGAACCCCCACATGAACACACACACACCCACATAGAGCCCCCACATGAACACACACACACCCACATAGATCACCACATGAACACCCCCCCACATAGAGCCCCCACATGAACACACACACACACACCCCACATAGAGCCCCCACATGAACACACACACCCCCCCCCCACATAGAGCCCCCACATGAACACACACACACCCCCCACATAGAGCCCCCACATGAACACACACCCCCACATAGAGCCCCCACATGAACACACACCCCCACATAGAGCCCCCACATGAACACACACACCCACATATAGAGCCCCCACATGAACACACACACATAGAGCCCCGAGGGGAGGTCACGTGGCCAACAGGTTTTCACCCAGAAGCCCTCTCATGGGACCAATCTTCACGGTTTCCTGCGACCAGGGAACTGGGCGACCTCCCCCGAGGCTCGCTCGCACCGCGGCGCCGTGACCTGGATGGTGGTTGCATGGTCACGACGGGGCTGCTCAGCCGCCGCGGATAGAGCGGGACACTCGACACGGGTCAGCAGGCAGGTAGAGGGTGGGGCGGAGTAACGAGCGGCGGTAAGAACAGGGCGGCCCTCTGATTGGCAGGACGAATGCGCTTGTTTAAAGAGTAAAAAGCGGACGTCGGAGAGAGCACCGATCCGATTAGCGAGGAGCGTGAAATCCGAGGCTCCTGATTGGACGAGAGGCGATCGGATTAGCGGCAAGTTATCTTTGATGTAAGGACAATAGAAAAGGGCAGGGAAGGTAG